ATGATGGGACTGAATCCAGATAGCTTTGCCAGCTGGATGACTGTTGCGGCAGGATTAGTCGGCGACGGGACGAACGATGATTTCCTGCCACACACCAAATTGGCCAACGGAACTGGCTCCCCCGAACACGACGATTGGCTTTCCTCGATAAAGACCGCGCCCGCCTTCCTCCCAGGGTGGGAATAGTCCAGCGCCCCCGACCTTGCTGTAGAGTCCTATTGCTGCTGTCGTGATACCCAGAGGAATTGAAGCTGCCTCTTCAAATGAGAGCGAGTCGGGAATCTACACAACAGCGAAGGTTCGTCAAGACTATCGCTCCAGTGGATTCTCACGCATCGACGGACCTTGGCTGTTAGGTTGGCAGTCGCGAGCGCGTACTGTTGGAACGATGCGCCCTCCAGTACATTGAAAGTGGCTTCAGTGATGCTGGAGTATGGTCCGTCAGTTGATCGGATCCACTACTTGTACATACTAACGTACACGCGGTCGCCAACCTTAAAGCTCGTCACGCCCTCTCCGAGCTCTTCGACTGTGCCCGAGAGGTCCTCGCCAAGGATCGTCGGGTACTTGTCAATCATGATGTCAAGGGCATGTCGTATCCAATCGGCAGGGTTGAGAGCAGTGGCATGGATCTTAACGAGAAGCTTCCCTGGACCGGGCTTTCTAATGGGAGCCACCCCTACCGTGAATGCTCCTTTAGCGGTGGTCAAGTAGAGAGCTTTCGGTGCGGACATGATGGAGCGATATGATATTGTCAAACGTCCGCAAGCTGCTTATATACCCCGGCTAGTGTCTCTGCTATGGGAGACTGTCATGGACTCTGGCTGCGCTCGCTAGGAGACTAGAGCTGAGATGACAAACATACGTTTGTACCCACATGAGGTCCGCCGGCGATGGGTGGCGTCAATCACGCTGCGTTGATAGAAGGTGCGCGTCATCCTTTTCGGACAGTTGGATCGTACTGAATTAGGACAAACCAGGTCCGGTCTCACCCTGGATCTTCTATAATGAAGGAGCATGTCCACTTTACGGTTGTAGCATTATAGTTGATTCTGAGACTCTAAGCGAGCTAGCATTTTCCCAGTGGCTCAATGCTATAGCTCAGTAATAATGGGCTTGGTTGTCAATTTACTTGTGACGTTCATGATCGCAGCTAATGGGAATGTACGTACTGGTTGCCACCATCTCGCCATCATCTCCCAACTCTGAGCTGAAATTGCTAATCGTAGCAGTGCCGGATCCAGATCTGAGTAATAGGTCAAGTATATATAAGTGAAATGCACATACTGTGACCATCCAGTCTAGTGTTCTGAAGCTAAAGCCTCCAACATGGCAAGATGCGCTGAGTGGTGCCTATCTGTGCATGTAGAGGTGGCATGCGTTGTGTGACATTTCTGTCCCAATTGGCTTGCCCCCAATAAGTGAGCTCAAATTTCACCATAAAACCCGACTGCAGCATGTCAATGATACCTGACTGTGGCATGTGGCCCACCGTCGAGAGGGACATGCTCCTCCCATCCTGGACAAGGCATCTCCATTATAGCTGACAATAGCACATATGGCCCTGCTACCGCCAGTCGCACCTCCGAGGCTATGTTCCAGCATTCCTTGCTCATCGTCCTTCCTATAAGTCCAGCAACCATAACCTACTCCCATTCCGTCTCTCACCCATTTATGGTACATCAACTTCAATAACCACACTGTTGATGGCGAACCACTGCGCAAAATGAACATGCATCAGAAGCGACCCAGGAACCGTATATCTCACCCTACACCCCTTTCTGCTCCTTGTCCGATTCGCACACGAAATAATGTGTGCCACGTCGCATCGCTGCGTACCCTAACCAACAATGCTACTATTACACTAGCATCGATTCGTACGTAACTATGCATTCCGCGCGTTCGGATCAAGTGCATTTGCCCTATAGATATCACTAGTTTACTTCTCCGGACGATGCAGGCACACCAGTCCAAAGCAGGACGGATACATCACACAGATGATCATAAACTTGAAGCGTCTCATATCGGGTTGCAGGTATGCGCGCCACGCTTTCATATCAGGTGCATTTGCCTGATAGGTTTCACTAGCCTATTTCTCCGGAAGATGCAGGCACGCCAGTCCGATGCACGGCAGATGCAGCGCACAAATGACCATAGGAGCCTCGTGACACCCGAACCAGCATTTCCGAGGAAAATATATTGGCAAAGGCGCTAGATACATGACACCAAACCCGGTACAAGGCCTCCCGTAACTCAGTAGTGCACTACACTGCTGTACAAGCACAGCACGTCATACAGCACACCCGCAGCACCCGCAGCACCCGCAGCGAACGCCACTTAGAGACAGACTACGCACGACATTCATATCCGCTACAATGGGCAACATAAAAGCCACCACCCACGTCCCCGCCACATGAGAAGACAGATAAACATTCATAATGCACGTTTGTTATGTTACGTGCGCAGTAGACGAACTACAGAAGGTGAGATTGACGCACACATTCGACGCTTGCTTAATATAATATCAGATCGAGACGTCGACCCCTGCCGAGCACACCACCTGCAGATCGTACTATGTGATATATCCCGACAAGCAGTATCAGTCTGAGTTACGACAGTCCTACCATGACTTCCCATGAGCAAAGCTACTCAGATCAAGCTGCAAGCCGCTGGGTATCACCATGGTGTTTCCCGGAACATACATAGTACTCCGAGAATGGATTGGAACCCAGAAGAGCAGCTCGCCATCAGGGCCAACCACCCAACCGTCACCATTGGGGACTCGTGAAAGCAGTGATGAGCTTTGTAAAAACGAACCAAAAGCATGGGCGGGATTTGTTGAGAAACATGTTGCACGATGACCAAAGAATCCCACATTTGTTGACCCAGTCTTAGGATGATGCACAGGCACAGCTGCTACGTGCTCGTTCGCATCGGAATTTAAGCGAAGAGCACTCTGCGTGGCTTCTCCCTTAACAGCGTAATCATATGATCCCGACGCGATGTGTCGGCCGTCATACGAGGTCGGGGTATTGACAGAGCTAACAACGCCTGTACGACTCTCCCGAGGTCGCTTTGATTGCAGCTCAAGCTCAAAGTCCCAAACACGGATTGACCTGTCCCTCGATCCCGATACCATGCTACAGCCATCATGCGAGATTGCAACAGACGTGATCCCGCCTGTATGTCCTTCTAGAGGAGAGCCCAATTCTTGTCCTGTCATTATGTCCCACACACGGACCGTGTTGTCACTCGATCCAGATACGATGTATCGCCCATCATGTGAAATGGTAACACACCTGACCCAATGCGTATGTCCCTCAAGAGCGGAGCCCAATTGCTGTCCTGTCCTCGCATCCCACACCCGGATCGTCTTGTCGTCTGATCCAGATACGACGCGCTGTCCATCGTGCAAGATTGTGACAGACCAAACGGGTTGGGTATGTCCATAGAGAGGGGGGCCAGATTGTCGTCCTGTTATTGCGTCCCACAAACGAACCGTCTCGTCATCTGATCCGGATACAATGAGTCGTTCATCGCGCGATATTGCAACCGACTTGACCCAATTTGTATGCCCTTTGAGAGGGTAACCCAGCTGTCGTCCCATTTGTGCATCCCACACGCGGATAGTGCCGTCTGACGATCCAGATATAATGCATCGTCCATCGTGCGAGAATGTGACAGATAGGACCCAATGTGCATGCCCCACAAGAGGAGGCACTATTTGAAGTCCTGTAGCCATATCCCATACACGAATTGCCTTGTCATCTGATCCGGATACAATGTATCGGCCATCATGCGAAATTGCAATAGACCTGACAGTTTCTGTATGCCCCTTGAGAGGGGGAACTAATTGGTATCCCGTCACCATATCCCACACGCGGATGGTCTTGTCATTTGATCCAGATACAATGCGTTGGTCATCGCCTGAGATTGCAACAGACCTGGCCCAATGTGTATGTCTCTCAAGAGGTAAGTCCACTTGCGACCCTGCTACCGCATCCCACAAACGGACTGTCTTGTCGTCAGATCCGGATACAATGTGTCGTTCATCATGCGAGATTGCAACAGACCTGATCCAGTCTGCGTGTCCTTCGAGAGGCGAACCCAATTGCTGTCTTGTCTCTGCATCCCATACACGGATCGTGTTGTTCGACAATCCTGATACAATGCGTCGGCCATCGTGCGAGACTGCGACAGACATGACCCATTGCGTATGACCTTCGATGGGAGAGCCCAATTGCTGTCCTGTCATCATATCCCATACCCGGACCGTGTTGTCACTCGACCCGGATATAATGCGTCGGCCATCGCGAGAGATTGCCACAGACCTAACAAAGTGTGTATGTCCCTTGAGAGGGTGACCCAACTGCTGCCTTGTCGCCGCATCCCATACGCGGATCGTTCTGTCCGATGACCCGGATACAATACATCGTCCATCGCGTGAGATTGCGACAGACCTGACACAGTGTGTATGTCCCTCGAGAGCAGAGCCCAATTGCTGTCCTGCCACCGTATCCCACACACGGATCGTTCTATCCGACGACCCGGATACAATACGCCGACCATCGTACGAGAGTGCAACAGACATGACCCAGTGTGTATGCCCCTCGAGCGGGGAGACTAATTGTTTTCCTGTCATCATATCCCACACGCGGATCGTCTTGTCTTCTGATCCGGATACGATGTATCAGCCCTCGTGCGAGATGGTAACAGATCTCACCGTTCCTGTATGCCCCTCGAAGGGGGAGCCCAATTGCTCCGCTGTCTCCGCACTCCACAAGCGAATCGTGTTGTCCTTCGATCCGGATACAATGCGTCGGCCGTCATGCGAGATTGCGACAGATTGAACATCATCATTATGTCCAAGAAGTGTACTCTGAAGGCACGGCCACCTATCTATCCCGCCGGTAACAATCTTCAGAGATCGGGGAAATTTGGAACGGAGCATTTCAGAGATTCGGGAAAGAGTCGGAGCAAAAGGTAGGACAGATAGATAGAGATGAGGGATGCTATGCAAGATGGGCACGGCAAACATCCGGATGAATCGTTCAGTGTCGGCAACCGTATTTTGGAGGTGCATAAAATCGCGATCATCCTTGGAATGACGGCATGAGCCACTGGGCATGATAGTAATTGTGAGATAACATACGATCATAACGAAGACAGCGTCGAAGCAGGGCCACTCAAGCTCTTCAACAGACAGAGCACTTCGAGCCAGAAGAGTATGCGTTCGTCATTGAGAAAGTATTCCGCTTTGTGTGCCAGCGATGGCCGGAAACACGCAGCCTTAACGTGGGCACTCTAAAATCGAGAGGAATATCGCAACTCGGGCGAAATGTGCGTTTCCACACGCTACTCCAGGCCAATGACATCGGAGTTGGAAAGGTAGGAGCTTTCCAGATGGCAGACGTTGAAGCAGAGTTGGCCCTTCATGATGTGCAGAGATGCAAAGGCCAGTCTACAGTGATGTACCTCTGGTCCCCCAACAAAGAACTCGTCGCTCCGATCTCTATCCGTTAAGAAGTCATCCAAGGATGCGTGCAGTGGCCGGATGGGTGTCTGATTATCTGTGATACCGGTGAGTAGTGCACCCAGGGGAGTGAGGATGAATTCCACATCAATTTCCTGCCGACCTTGGTCCCTGTCGTCAGTGCGTGGAGAATGACACAGAATTGCAGCCAGGGAAGTCTTCGAAAGCGGCTCCAGTACGTTTACAATCAAGTCCATCACAATACAAAACATCAGTGTAGTCTCCTGCCGCTCATCCTCCGGTATAACGTCTGCCAAGATGCGTTTGTACATAAAAGCCAATAGTCTTGTTCTCTTCGCCGGTACATCGGAAATCACGCTTTCAAAGCGGACCCTAGGATTCTGGCGCACTTTGTTTCTTCCTTTGATGTACTCGCATACTAAACGAGCCCATTCGAAGAGACCGTCAGCGTGTTTCGCGAGCGCCTTGCATTCATGATCATTAAACTGTAGCTCTTTGAGCCTGACCGAAATGTAGCGTTCGATGTCACGCTCGATAGCATCTGACCAGGGCGATTCGTCTAAGTTGACATGTCGAACGTGTGATGGGCTATGGAGAGCGTCATAAATATCTTCAAGCGGGCAGGACGTGATCAGAATGCGTATATTTGGCGGCATGCCAGTCATAGGCTTGGAAGAGCCATCTTGCTCCCCCGCCAGAAGGTGGAGAATCTGCTCACGGGTATCACTCTCACCACTTTCATCCAACGCATCTACAATGATTAGGATAGGGGCCTCAACGACTTTTGACGCTATGTTGATCGGGCCAAGGAGCAGCTGGTTCCATTGTCTCTTGATGTCGACGGTGTGCTTGAGCTCGTTGTTGTCTCGAACAGCACTCGCCAATGCCCTGCGCAGAAGCGGGTCGTGATCTGCCAAATCGCGCGCAATAGTCGTGAACAGCTTCTGAGGAAGCCGTTCTCTCTCCCGGGTTCGGTCGAAGCAAAAACAGGACCCGAGACTTCCATGTTCATCGGACCAGTTGGCTACAGTGTGAGCAACTGTCGATTTTCCCGTCCCGGCCATCCCAGATAGCCAGAAAATCTGCTCCACATTTGGCCCAGTATCATTGATCCAGTTCTTCACCTCGGATAGGACAATTTCCCGCGTGTCAGGAAGACACTACTTCAAGGTATTTCGCCCGACCCCTCTTGCGTACTCCAGGCCACCGAGACTCGAATCCTCAGCTGACGACAGATTCGACTGTCAGCGGTATCTCATCGCAAAGTTGCGATTCTACTCACCAGCTCTGCACGTGAAGATAGCAACATCGCGGAAGACAGCATCTCGAAACTGCTGCATGAGACTGTCAATAGCTCCACAGTAACCTTGGACTGCATCATTCGTATCTCCCAGCACAATTCCCCCCGCGCGTATCCCTATGTGACGTACATCATTGAAAACGAGCAGAAGACACATAGCTGCATACTCACAAAAACTCTTCGTCTCCGAGTAGTGTGCGATGAAGTCGGCACAGTCCAACACTTGATGAGATGACTTTTCCAATACCGCTTGCATGGTAGGAACAAGTGTCAAGTCTTCTCTTTCCGCGATGAACGCATATACTTGTGACACCTTCGATAGCAACTCGCGAACAGCAGTGTCGAGGTAAATCTGATCGAGAATCATCTATGTGTCAAATGTAAGTATGAGTGGACAAAACTCAAATACGGGAATAACGGACTTGAGATGCACACTTGAAGATACTGAGCGCGATCTGAGCATATGGGTGAACCTGTGAGAAACAATTAGTGTCAAAAACTACTATATGACCTATTCATACCTGTGCAATGGCATCCACCACCAAATTGAACACATTGAGTGCTCCGAGTGGTGCAACAAGAGGATCAATTGTATTAAGCATCGATTCTGCATGGTCCATGGCCGTCGCGACCTTCGTGGTCAGATGGAATTGCTCGACGTCCTTGACATTGGCTACAGCTGTTGAAACCTCTTTTTCGGTAGCTATAATATCCAGCAATATAGCATCCTGTGAGGAGCTTGCTTCTAAATTTGAGCCAGTGGGGAGCGATGTCATCTGCAAGTACGGTCTAGAAAGTATTCAATGTCAAGTGCACACATGCACTTACTCCTCGTTTATGCCCGGATGGGGGGAAAGCTCTCTACTTCGATCGAGGCGCTTGAAAAGTGCACCCAGGAATAGAGCTCCTCGTCCAGGCTGAACATCTGGCACGGCCTTCTTCTCCTTGGGCTGCTTACGCTGCTTCTGTGGGGACTTGAGCTTGTACATCGAGAAGGATTGCGACGAGCCGAGTCGGATATGGCGATGGTTGCGTGCGGGAACAGCAAGCTGCCAACGGCGGTAGATAAGCCGTGCCTAGCAATGCAGGCGTCTCGATAAACATGGCGGCCCATGACAGCCCATGACCTGGGACAGCGGCTCAGATTGTCACTCCGCACACAACTGATGGCCTGGCATCAACAAAGTTCACATGAGATTTGAATGGCCACGTCATGATGTATGGTCATTGCTGCAGCGAGATGGAGGGCTGCAGGCGAGAGGTTGACTGATCGTGCACCATGTTGCACTCGCACCACTGACAGCAGCAAGAGCTTGACTCTGCAGAAGGAAACAAGTGTTGTCCAGCAAACAAGATTCGGCGTAGAGTACAGCGAGCAGGAGGACGAGATATCAGCAAATGTATTGATTGCAGCTGAGGGAGTAAAGGGGACAAAACATTGTAACAGTCCTGCCTTGCCGCCGCGTGGGTGCTCTCGTGCCAAATCCGGTAGCTATTGCCAATTGTAGATCAGAGCTACAAACTAGCCTCTTTTTTTTAATGAAAATTTAACTCCGTATTTATACTCCATACCATACGGTACATGCAGAGTGTAATGAAAAGTAACCTATCATCGGGATGGTATTCATCCCGTTTCGTCTCCTCGACACCCTGAAAGGGCCGGGGAGGGTTCGGGCTGTACAGACCGCCCAACACCGGGGTCGTCGCGCCACTCCATGGCACGCTCGCCCTCCAGTGCATTCGACAAGAATGCCGGGGGAGGATACGCAGGTGGCTGTTGTTTCCACGCCTCCACCAACTTTGCCGCAATTTGATCGGCATCGTGCTCCCGCGCAAAAAACTGATAGTCTTTCGAGTCGGGATGTATATCAGAGGGATCTATGTTGATCCTCCCACAGAATACTAAGAATGCAGTTTTACGCATTGCCGTGTGAGCGTAAAGAAGCGCATTCGCCACCGAGTAGTGGTACAAACTAGCCTCTACGCATAAGCCTGAGAACACTGATAGCACGTCTATATACACATATACTTTAGGAGTCGTCAAAGTATCATTCACGCAAATCAGAGCTCCGAGACAAAGAAAGCACTAGAAAGAGCTGTGAGTGTCATGATTGTAGTAGTTATTAGTCTGATCTAGTTGTTCATATACTAATTTCCTTTGCTAACATAGACGTCTGTTTTTTCTTCATACTAGGACATACACCATGCATTTCATAATTGTTCGTCGCGACTTCGTCAATTCTTCGCAATTCGTCTGCGCACAGCAGAGCCCGGCGTGCATGCTTTCTCCTGGTGCCGGCGGAGTGCATCCGGGCGGATGAGGGTGCTCCCACAGCACTCACACACCACCTCCATCAAGCGCAAGTGCACGCCACACACGTGCTTGACATAGTTCGCCCGCTTCATCTCCGTCCTGCACTGCTCCCACCGGCACACTACGAGCGCATCGCCACCCCCGCCGCCTGTACTGCAGACCGTAGCGTGGTACTCGGTAAAATGTTTACGGACACTTGCCACAGAAGGACTGGTCAGATGTGCGCCGCAAGAGTCCCACAGGCAGATTTTCGTCGTCGCGCCTGGCGACCTTTCCATGTCGCCCTCGGGGAAAGCCTCCAGGACAGGCAGATCTTGTGGGACTGTGTTCGCGCCCGCTGCGGATCCCAGATCGAGAGCAGAGAAGTTGCTGCACGCCTGATTCAATATTTCCGTTGTCTCGAGCGCCGCGGTCTCTATACTGTTGGGTTCACGAGGGAGTAGATCCCTTGTGTCTTGGTATATAGAGCTACTGTCAATGCATGGTGCTGTTTCTTCCACTCTCAGGGAAGTGAGATCACTGCATGCCTGGGTCAACATTCCTGTCGTCTCGAATGCCGCGATCTCCATGTCATGGAACTGGTAAGGCAAGGCTTCCCAAGTATCTTGGTATAGGAGATTTGTGTCAGCGCACGGCGTGGCTTCCGCTTGCGGCATGCATACGTGATTGGCTATCGAGGGCTGTTTCATCTCGGGAAGTACGACGCTGTCGGCATAGGACATGGGAACAGGCAGCGCGAAATGCGGATCTTCTTGGGGCGGAACTTGGACATGCCATTCAGGGGGGTAAAGTACGAAGTCTGTGTCGAGCACGCAGAAGACGTCCATACTGGGTGCGATACATACTGTGATAGCTTCGAGGGGGACGAGGCGGTAACGATAGGCTTCGTTATATGCGACGGGCACACGGGGAAGCCTATGTTAAGGATGTGTCAGAATCAAAGCTCAGAAGTGAGGTACACATCACATACATTGATAGAGGTGACATATGCCTGGCGCCGAGATGGTGAGGGATGGAGGAACCTAGACTTTCATGTTGACCTCTGTAATAGTTTTCGTCATTCGGATGTTGTGGCCCTACATCAGGCATATTATTATAGCTGCGCAGCTGCTGTGCATTTCTGGGCAAACCACATCAGAAGCTGACAGATTATATCAGGCATAAGAGCTACACATACCCGCCAAAAGGATCGCTTGAATATGAGTCCCAATGCTGAGGGTATTGGGGGACGTTGCGATAATTTTGCAATAGCGCGTTTCGTATGTCGGGCAACACATCTGGCACGCCGGCCCCTTCGCTTCCCATGGGAAGCGTGCTACCAGCGTCGTAGGATGGCTGAGCATAGGGGAAAGGACTGGCATAGCACAAATTCTGCGATCCAGTGCCCATGAGGCGCGTGGAATGCGCAGGCGCGCTAGGCAACAGCAGCGTCAGCAAGCAGTCATGACTCGTGCAAAACACGAGGAATAGCTTAAACTCACGTTGCAACCCGCGAAAGGCTGCGGTAATCACAATCGATCGAGGATACCGGGCCCTCCATGCTTCTATCCCGATACACATTGATCGTCAGAGATGGGCACGAGAGTTATAATGTCGAGCAACATACTCAGTTCTCTCCTCTGTGGGGGCGGATGGGGGGGCGAGGATCGTCTGCGCGAGTATGGAAGAGAGTGATTCAACTTCGCTGAAAGGCGAGGGAGAGTATGAGTTCTTGTTCAGCGCGCAAAGACGGTGGAGGACGCACCCAGCCTGATCAACCCAATTTTCTATATCCCTCCATGTACCTACCCAACCATCCGCAGCAGAGGATAGGCGAGAGTAAGCAGACATTGTGTGGAAAGAGTATGTCTGAGGGAGATGAGAAATACGAGGCTTTATAATTTCACAGGCGAAGTGGAGCGCTGTGAAGACAGACTATTAAAGCCAATTAAGATATTTCTGGGCAAAGGGTGGAGAGCGGCGCCTAGACTGCACTTAGTAAAGCGAAAGCTAGCGCTGAAACGAGTCACGATGTGGACAAAGATATCTGCAGAGCAGCTCACGGGCATATCACAGCACCGCTGCGTACTGCCCAGACGGAACACCATACAAAGGAAGTGTGCGGGAGCGGACCGCGACAAACGCTCCGCGATCACGATTGGGTTCGAATGGAAGGCACGGATAGCAAACGATTCGCGTTTTGGCCAAAACGCATAATCTTCGTGGTTACTAGTGCCTCTTTCGGTGATATTGAGTCCTTCCTTGCTCTAACATAGAGACATCTGACTCCAGGAAACGGGTAAATTTGCATTTTTAGGATCTGGCAGGCGTACACAGCGCAGTCATCCTAGTCTCACCATGCGAACATCAACCTGGTGTCACCGAGTTGGCTGTGAATCGGTACAGACGCTGGGCCGCTTGGACTAGGTGGATAGATTGACAACATGGACACCGCAGTCTCGACTATAGAAGAAGAGGGGAAGGGAGGGGAAGGGAGGGGAGGAGAGGAAAGGAGACCAGGGGTCTCGCATGTGAAGCACAGGAAGGGAAGCGGGAAGCGTTAGGGTGGGAGTTTCTGTATCACTGTCAGACATCTCGAATATCTATATGAATAAGAGATATTTTCTGACATCATCATTTTGTGATCCATGGAAGCAGGTTCCATACGCTAACCATCACCATGCTGCACTTTCCAGGAGCTAACAAAGAGAGTTTAAACAACAATCAAGAGGTATTAACCGACACTATGCTACATTATAGCAGGACGCACCAACCAATTATACTATATAGTCTCTTATAGCAATGTTCATAGTGAGACGCTTTCAGTTTCCGTGGGAGGACCGTCATGGAGGCGGCCGAAATGCCGCTGAGCTATGTAGGCATATTGGCACTAGGTAGAGCGTCAACATTCGACGTTCAAAATCTATTGAGAACAATACTTACTTATTCAATTCTTAACCTCTGCAGTTCATGGCCGATATCAAAGCGCGACTGACCACAGGGGCTATCACTGTGTGCTGGCAAAATGCAGGTCAATCAATGGCGCCTAGTGGCTGTGGACCCTCAGATCCAAACTTACAGGAACCTGCTCCACTGTACGATTTAAAATACCACGGTTGTGCGGCCACTGAAACTGCGGAACTCGCCCATAATTGCCACCTCACAGCACTGCCGGCGCCGCCGGATATGCCACTTTCCCACGAGCGGCGCCGGGCGCCTGCGTCTGAGGCTTCCACCGTCCGCCTTCGCTGCTCTTCAAGAATATCGCGAACAATCCGAACAATCGTCCTGGCTCGTGCAACCATTGACCATTACTGCCTTATTGAACAACTCGCAGCGCGCGCTTCACGCTTGGCTTAGTCCTTTTCGTTGAAAATACCACAAGCAGGCGATGGCCACTATCAAACATATTGAGCGCGTCTTTATCTTCAATATGTGTTGGCTATGCTCAGATACAGGAAGTGGATGGCACGTTCATGATCACACGAAGTAGGGGCTCCGGTTTAACGAGTGTCAAATAAATACTTCACTATCATCCATACCTCCTCGGAGATTCTATGCCATAAGGTCAAGTCACGAATCTGATCCTAGAGACAACCTTCCGATGAAGTTCCTCTTGTCGCCGTTCAGCCGACACCGAATCTGATACTCGCCAAGCGTTGAATACCCCCTGTGCTTCGGTGTCACAAATGGGACTCTTGGTACGTCAAGTACCCGGTATGCCGTACGCGTCTGCTTAATCTATAGAACGTCGCTCATGGCAATACGATAGCATCAGCATTCATTGGACTTTGCGTGGAGGCCGATCCGTGCCCCACGCTCCTGCCGCAATCGTCCATGAGGCCAAAACATCTCATTTCCCCTCGCTCATACGATGATCCGCCATCGCCTATGCTGCGGAGCCTTCTTGGACTCACAGGCTTTTGGAATGCACCGTCGTGGTCCTACCGCATGCGGTGACCTGCAGGCAGGTGCGATATCGACAACAGCGTTCGTCTTCACTCGTGGCATATCACTTTCGCTCAACTCCACTCATCGGATCGGGCGTATGTATTGTGGGGATGATCCGTCGTCGCGCGTTCATGACGATGACGAGACATATACGAGTGCGCCACTGACGCCGGCTGGGCGGTCCGTCAACTTATCTGCTTGAAGGCCTGACGGCTCGCATCACACACTGCCATGTGTGATTACGCCGACAGCGTCTGGCAGCCCCATGTCACACCTTGAGACGGAATGCCATACTCTTTGCTCATGGACCGGTGGAGCGAGGTGTTGACGCGGGACATCCATTGACCAGCTGACCATTCTGTGTGGTCGTGATGTCAATCCATGAGTGCGCGATTATAACTGCATTGTAGGTCGAGCTGACTGTTAGTGCTTGCACCAGGATCACAGCATTGTGAATGATTGGGAGGGCTGTGTTTCTCCGCGCAAGGCCTGCGTATGCACTTGCGTATAATGTGCCTCAGGCACCCTGCTTCGCTTATTGACTGTGTCTTCTTTGTGCGCGCGTAATCCCGGATCAGAGGCTACCCGTGCGCGGAAGCTCTCAGCGTCGCCCAGCGGCACGCTCGTCGACGGCACACGCTCACAGATCGCGATAGGCAATCTAGTGTGCGATGATCGGCTTGGGATCCCGGTTGCCGTTGGAGTCCTCGGACGTGCCATCGTATGCGAGGCATTTCGGGCATTGATCGGAACCCGGTGCGAGGCGAAGCCTGGATGCAATAGGGTGAGGCTCCGTGGCGGTGGGCATGAAGCTGCCGCCTGCGCTAATTCTACTTGGTGTAAGGCTAGCCATATGTATCCAGTGGTGAGCATCGATGGTTCGCCGAAGTCATTAGCGGGGAGGGGGATGTGGGCTGAGTCGGCGCATAGGTATAGCTGCTTATGGTCTAAGTGCTGATTCCATTACTCTCTAACCCTCATCGCTGATCGTCATTTTGTTAGTCCTACCCCGCGTACCTGGAGGATGCGCTTTTAGTATCAAGAAATGAATAGCCGGAGGCGGGACACGTTGCGAGTGCGGCCCGGAGTGGGGCAGGTAGAGACAAGTTGACTCGATTAGTGCTCAATGATACATGGTGGGGATGCCATTCACAATCGGGTAGCCAGCCTGGTGGACTGGCACGTTTCCAAGGCCCCGTTTTCGTCGCTCGTCCACTCCCGCGGTCTGTAGTTCCCGCGCCCTAGAGAAGCAGCAACAGCAGCATTAGTCAACGCCATCTGTGCCACACCATACCTCCACTCGGCACCTCTTCCGTTGTCTTTCGGAAGGAAGTTGCAAGTTCTGTAGATCTAAATGTCCTTCTCGTGGTCCACCGCTCTCCGTCCTGATTCTTGCATGATCTAGCTGCGCCATGGCCATACGTAGACCATTTGTCTCGTCGACGCAGACGCTCGTGTCCTCTCTCCCCTCTTTGCTCGTACCGAAGGATTGCGATGGACTGGATCCGGACAGAAGCCGCTTAGCCGCTTTCTCTGCAAACACAGGGCGCAGGTGGAGGGACGCTATTGTAAGCCAGGAGGAGTGCCACATCTGCTGGCGTCGTGGGGAGTGCGGCCGGTACGAGAGGCAGTATTACGCGCACACAAAATTACATTCAAAATACAATACTTGACGATCAGCAGGAGCGACCTCGAGCACCAACCCGTATGTTTATCTATACGAAGAGTTCGGTGCGCACAACACAGCACTCAAGACCCCAAGACACCACTGTCTCTCCACACTCAGTCCTGGAGGCCAACGCCATGCACTTTCATCAAATGGCGCGCCATCGAGTCCGCGCGCGTGAAGCGCTCCCCGCACCCGTGCACCGCACACCCCGTAGCGGTCGAGCGCAGGTGGCGCGTCGCGATGTGCTTCGCGAAGCTCTTGAAGAAGAGCGTCTTGTCGCGCTCGCAGCCCGCCCAGCGGCAGTGCCCGCGACGGTCGGCGTCCCATGCGGCCGGCGCAAAATGCGCGGCGCGGAGGTGCGCCTCGATGTCGCCGAAGCGCGTGGTCGCGAAGCGCTGCGTGCAGCCGTCCCACTGGCACTGCAGGCTCGCCGTGCGCGCGTCGGGCACGGTGTACGGGGCAGGGAGCCACGGGAGCGCGTCGGACGCCCTCGTAGAGGCGGGGCTGGAGAATGCGTCTGAGCCGTGTGTGCTGGATGGAGAGGCGTAAAGCATGTCCTGTGCAGGTGGAGGCGCGGGAGAGGGGTCTAGTGCGGGCTCGATGCGCACTACGTGCGCAGGGTGTGCGAGCATGTGGAGCCACTGGCGGATACGGGATGGGGCTTCGGAGAAGAGGGCAAGGCGGGCGCCGAGGTAATCTTGAGCGTCGGGCGGGAGGATGGCGGAGGGGATCTGGGCAAGTGAGGCGGGCGTGCAGGCTGTGTTGGGGTACGGTTGCGGCATGAGGCTTTCCGTGCGCCAGTGCGGGACGTGCATGGGGATGCGAACGTCGTGCGTGTTACTGTGGGCGGGCGACACGTCCCATGAGGTGGAGCCAACGAGGGCTGCGTCGTAGGAATATACGATTTGTGGTGCAGTTCTGCGGAGAGGGGATCATGTCAGCGCTATGGAGCAGAGGGCGATAGCGGCATACTCACGTGCTATGGAAGCAGTCCATATTTACGGAAGAGCTGAGATGGTAAGTGTGATGAAGAGCGAGTGTTGGATGGAGGAATAGGCGCAGGTTTAAGAGTCGTGGATATGGAGACAGCTTTTCGGGTTAGGGTTGCGATGTATGGGACACTGGGAGTCTCGGGCCGGCCGACTCCGCGGCGTGATGACTTCCCTTGGCAGCCGGCGAGTGGACCGTGGACCGCCGGGCGGAGGCCGATTCGAGCTCCGGTTCTATGGTCGCACCAGATCTCCAGCCACTCCGCGAGCGAAAGTGACCAACATTAGCCTCGTCATGGTTCCGCGCATGGATCTGTCGGCCCCGAGTCAATCGTATGGTCGCCCAGATCTCATCAAGTCGCCATCAGCCCCGTCCTCTCAGAATTTTCGAGTGTGGTCACTTTCCCCAAAGACCTCAGGCTTGAAGCTGAAGCTGTAAGTCTTCGATACCGTTCAGGATGCGCGGACTGGACTAATTTTACGATGTCAGCGCAGACATGCATTCTTGCTGAGATTCAGTGAGAAAATAACACAATCTGTTCCAGATTCGCACTTACTCGCTTGAGATGCGAGATGTTAAACGGGGACGGGCTCTCCACCGCGCCCCCTACACCACATTGGGTCGATCTTCGCATGGACACCCGAGCAGAACCAGCTTACATCGCCCGCACCGATGCAGATCGCTGCGATCAACGGCCCTCCCTCAAATGGTCGTCGACTATTTGTAGTGGGGTCGGTAAGACCATGGCTTAGTGGACAGCGTTTCGCAGGAGTTGCCCAGCGCGCAGCACGATCACGGTGCGAGGCGGAAGTAGACAAGCATCCCACATGCTCCGAGAAGTGCTTATGCAGGTTGCATCTGTCGCCGTGCTGCGGAGGTCGACGAGAAGACAAGGGAGCGGGTGAGGGTCGGTGGCAGACAGATGCGA